CCCCCCCCCCCCCCCCCCCCCCCCCGCCACAGCCCTGACTTCATCCCAGGGTCCTGGCCTCCTCCTCTGGGAAGTCTCTGACAGCCCTGCCACCCTGTAATTATAGACTGGGGGCCAGAGCTGCCAGCTGGCCAGTCCTGACCCTAGAACCATGCAGCATAGACACATGCAGCAGGCACAAACATCCTTCAGCCCAACTCAAGAAGCCTTTATTAAGCGCCTGCTGTGTGCAGAGCTGAGAGAGAAGAGCAGAGGAGGAGGCAAGGGGAGCCCTCTGGCCTGGGTTTGTGAACAAGGATGATGGAGATGCCCACCATCACAATCAGCGCCTCCAAGAGGGCACAGACAATGGTGGGCAGAGCCCACAGGGTAGACCCAGGAGCTGGGGCAGGGGAGCCAAGGGGGGCTTAGACCACCAGGGAGTGAGCGTCCAGTCAGACAGGCCTTCCTGCTGCTCCCTGCCCACCTCGGAGTGGACACCAGGCAGCTGGAAGTCAGATCGGGCAAGGCTTCCCTGGAAGATGATGCCTGAGCTAATTCTGAGGGAAATGAGATTGTGAGTGAAAAGGGAGGAGGGAGAACACTCTCGGCATGGGGGCACAGCCAATGCAAAGGTGTGGAGATGGGAGACTGAGGTGTGTGTGAAGGGCAGCATGGGGGACATCGGGAGGGGAGGATGGAGCCACGCTGGGAGGGGCTTCGAGGGTCCAGGGGAGGAGTTTGTAGCTGGCCCTGGCCTCAGCGAGGAGCCCCCGGAGGTCACTGAGGCCACCTTGTGAGTCTCTCAGCAGGGAAGGGAGAGATGGAGGTGGGCCCCTGCCCTCAGGAAGCTCCCAGTCTGGCAGGAGGAAGGTTTTATTTAAATGAGGACCCTGTGAAATAGCCATGAGGAGAACACTGGGATTATGGGAGGCAGGAGTCCCTGCCCACTGGGAACGATCAGGGAGGGCTCCCTGAAGGAGGGCTGCATTCGAGCCCTGCTTTGAGTGACTGGCCAGATTCCAACCAGCAGAGCACAGAACGGGGGGTGGCATTTCAGGCTCTGAGAATGGCAGGAGCTGAGGCCCGAGGAGGGATGTCCCAGGGAGTGTTTGGAAGACAGTGGCCCGGGAGGATGCTACTTGTCTGGAGCCAACTTGGAAGGGTGGAGTAGGGGCTGCAATTGTAAAGATGGACTGGAGCAAGCCTGCGCGGGGCCTCGAACGCTGGGCACAGGGGCTGGAGCAAGCCTGCGCAGGGCCTCGAATGCCGGGCACAGGGCTCAGTCGGTCCTCTGGTAGCAGCAGAAAGCCAGAGAGGGTCTTTCTCCCCCCACCCAGGCCACCTACATCTACATGAAAGCCGCCTACCTCAGCATGTTTGGAGAGGACGATTACAAACCTTTTGGAGACGATGAAGTGGAGCTTTTTCGGTGAGAGCCTCGCTCTCTCCTCTGCCCCCAGCCCCGGTCTGAGCCCGCACCAGAAAGCAGGGTCCTTCCCAGTGTTAGAGGGGCCCCTAGGCCGGTGGGTGCCCCAGCCCCAGAGGGCATCTCGTCCAATCCCTTAGACCCAAGTGGGAATCCCCTCTCTGGCCTCCCTGATTAAGGGACGTTGCCACTGCTTGAAGACTTCTGGTGATGGGGAGCTCACTACATCCTGAGGCAGTCGGTCAACAAGTGTTTATTAAGCACCTATTGTATACCTGGCACTGGGCTCACATTCTAGTAGAGGAGACAAGTACATATGGAACCATATACCGCACAATGCCTGTTGATGCCTTCCTGACTCAATCCCACTTTCTGCAGTGGGTCTTCCAGGCCTTTTTGCCCCTCCTCCAGCCTCCCAGGGCTCCCCACCCCCACTCTCTCAGCTCAGGACTTTGCCTCACATTTTACAGAAAAGATTTGAATAGTTTCCTCGCCTCCCTTCTCATCACTTCCCATCTCCCAGACACCTTCTGCCACTGGCTTCTCCTTTCCAAGGCCGACCCGTCCACCTGCATGAGCCATCCCTTTCAATCCCATCGCCCCTAACAGATAGCACCCCTTCTCTGGTCTGTCTTTAGTCTCCCTGTCTGCTGGCGGCTTCCCTGCTGCCCCAAACACAAATCCTCACTGGGCCGTCCACCCTCTCCAGCCATCACCCCCGTCTCTCCAGCCTTCTGTGGCCTTCGACCCTGGGGGCCTCCCCCTCCTCTCCTCTCCCTCCCATCTGACCCCCTGCAGCCTGGCTTCAGGTCTCAGCCTTCTGCCCAAACTGCCCCCTCCCGTTACCAATGGCCGTGACTCATCTTAGCTGCCAGGTCCAGCGGCCTCTGCTAGGTCCTCGTCATTCCTGACGCCGCCCATCACCTTCTCTCTCTCCATCTCTGTCTCTTCTGGTTCTCCTCCCACCTCTCTGGTCATTCCTCTGTCTGCTTTACCGATTCCTCATGCCCTCACCCTGGGGGTCGCACAGGGCTCTTCTCCCTCTAAACCCCTTCTCTTGGGGCTCTCCTCGGCCCCCACGGATCTAGTCATCATTCTGTGCAGCTGATTCTCAGACCTGTTTGTCCAGCCCTGCCCTCTCTCCTGCCCTCCAGTCTCCCAGCTGGCCATTGTACACCTTGAACCGGGTGGCCCGTAGACATGGCAGCCTCACGCCGCTGAATGCTAAGCTCATTGTCTCTCCTCCCACCCTTCCTTGTCAGCCCCCAGGCTCCCACAGGAGTCAGCCCGGATCCCCCCTGTCTCCGGCCATCTCTGCAGAGTCACCCCACCTCTTCTGTCCTCTAAGGCCGCCCTGACTCTCCCTGGTCACTGCAGTGACCCATGGATGGGCCCATTTGCTCCAGTCTCCAGTCCATTTTATGTAAAGCCACTGAAGTGATGTTCTTAAACCCCAGGTCCAATCACGGCCCCTCCTGCTCCACAAACGCCAGTGGCTCCCTATTGTCTCCAAGAGCAAATAGAAAATACTCTTTTTGGCATTTGAAGCCCTTCATCCCTCCTGCCTGTCCAGTCACTTAACTACTGTCTGCCTTGGTTTCTTCAGCTGTAAAATCCCTCGTCCTACAGGAAGCCTGCCCTCCATGATTCTGTCCAGCCAATGACTGCCCCTTCCTAGCTAAGTGACCCTCGGCAGGGCCTCAGCTGCCCAGGGAGGCAGCCTGTGATGTTCACATGGGTCTGTATCTGTGGTGGGGGCCGGGCCTTTCTCCCCTTGACCACCCCCTGAGTCAGCATCCCCCCGGGACACTTTCCTGCATCCCTGTCCAGCCTGGGATGCACCAGGGACCGCCCCCTCCCTCCCCAGCCAGGCTTCCTGACCTCTGTCTTCTCTTCTCGGCAGAGCTGTGCCAGGCCTGAAGCTCAAGATTGCCGGCAAGTCTCTGCCCACCGAAAAATTTGCCATTCGGAAGTCTCGGCGGTACCTCAACCCGAACCCCATCCCGCTGCCTGTGCCGGCCCTGGTAGGAGCCCCCTGCCATCCCCCTGCCTCCCCCTTCCTAACCTAGGGCCAGAGGTCCAATGAGGGCAGGCTGAAGGGTCAGAGGTAGCCCACGAGCCCCTTGGGCACTGGGCGCAGGTTAGGGCAGCTTTGGGCTAGGGGGATTGTTGGGTTGGTGGGGAGGCAGCCTGGAGACCTCTGATGGGGAGTAGGGCCTGCGCTCACAAGGTCGGCCTTGGGGGGGCCACATGTCACAGGGCGGCACTTAGCTCCCACTTGGCGTCTTGGTGGCCTGGTATGGCCAGGAAAAGGGGTGACCTCAGGTCAGCCACTGCCCTCTCTGGGCCTCATCACCTCCGTGTATAAATAAAGGAGGGGTGTTCAACCAAGTGACCTCCGAGGACCTTCTCAGTCTGATATCTCTGTCCTCAGGCCCCTCCTGGTTCGGACATTCCCTGGGAATGGACTCAGTAGGTAGAGTGCTGGGCCTGGAGTCAGGAAGCCCTGAGTTCAAATGCGGCCTCAGATCCTCCCAGGCTGTGTGACCCTGGGCAAGTCACTTAACTACTGTCTGCCTTGGTTTCCTCAGCTGTAAAATGGGCGTAATACTTGCATCTATCCCCCAGGGTTGTGATAAGGATGGAACGAGAGAATATTTGTAGAAGCCCCTGGCCTAGTGCCTGGCATACAGTAAGCACTTCATAAACGCTTGATCCCTTTCCTTTCCCCCTTAAGGCCCCTCCCAGCTCAGACACTTGGTGACCCCTGAAATTCCCAGCCTCGTTCCTTCGGGGCCACAGCTCCCGTGGGGAGTCCCTGGAGCCGCCCCGGTCTTTGTGGACAAGCCCCACTTTTCCTCCTCTGCCAATAAAGATTCCATGAAGGCCCGCTCATGCCAGGCACCGGCTGTGCACACCGGGCGTCCCTGGCCCGGGGCTGCAGCCTGACCCGGCCATGGGTTCTGTGGTCCACCCAGCAAGCCCAGAGACGGAGCGCTGGCAGGGGCCTCAGAGGCCAGCCCCCCATTTTGCAGAGGAGGAAACCGAGGCTCAGAAGGGGGCAGGACAGGACCAAGGCCTCACCAGGAGAAGGCAGCAGAGCCGAGATCTAAACCCAGTCTTGGTGGCCCTGCGCCCCAACGCTCCCATTTCACACGTGGGGAAGCTGAGGCCCAGAAAGGGGGAGAGCGAGCCAGCACGGGGATGGCGGGTGGGTGGGCGTGCAGGAACTGACTGCGGCGGCCCCCTCCCCAGGAGATGATGTACATCTGGAACGGCTACGCGGTGATCGGGAAGCAGCGGCAGCTGACGGAGGGCATGCTGGACGTCCTCATCAAGGCCCAGGAGACCCTGGAGAAGTCACCAGGTGAGCGGGACCGGGCTGGGGAGGCCCGCAGCTGCCCGGCTCCTCGGCCAGACCGGGCCAGGCATGGCCCCTCCCCCCATCCCGGGCCTGCGGCTGGGAGCAGCACCCGCCCCACTGCCTTCTGGGAGAGCTCCCAAGAGCCCAGACCCGAGCCCACAGGGCACGGGGGCCATCTGGCGGCCAGAAGGTGTAACTGTAGGCCAATCAATCAATGCCTCCTGTGTGCCAGGCCTTGTGCTAAGCCCGGGGGTACAGAGAAGGACCAGAGTCCCTGCCCTCGGGGAGCCAAGGTCTGGCGAGGGAGACGATGTGCAGTCCACTATGCACAGAAAGCTACAGACAGGAGAAATGGGGGCCAGGAGGGCTTCCTGAGGGGGGGCATTCTGCTGGGGTTTGGAGCAAGCCGGGGAAGCCAGACATGAGGAATGAGAGTGTTCCAGCGCGGGGCACAGCCAGGGAGGATGCCCAGAGTCTGGAGAGGCAGCCACGAGGCCGGGGTCAGTGGACGGGGGGGGAGAATGGACGGCAGGAAAGGGCCAGGGTACGAAGGGCTTTAAACGCCAGAGAGGATTTTCCATGTGGTCCTCGGGCAAGAGGAGGCACTGGAGTGTATTGAGGAGGAGAGAGGATGCGGTCGGGCCGGCGCTTTAGGAGGCTGGGCTGGAGAGACTTGAGGCAGGACGACCCTCAGCCGGCCATGGCCATGGTTTCCTGGGGTCACCCAGCTCGTGAGTGTCAGGCCTACCTGGCTGCTTCTGGGATGGGCCGAGAATGGCCCTGACCTGGGGCCGGTGGTCCCTCTCCCCTGTGGGAGCCTTGCACGTTGGTCCTTGGAGAAGCCGGGCCCCTCCTGGGCCGCCCCTGAGGCCGTGAGTGAATGCTGACCCTAATCCAGCTCCCACACCCCACTGGCCATCAGGAAATGACTGTGTCTCAGAAATGCTTTCCGGCCACCAGAGCTGGAGGTTTGAAATCAGCTGGATTCCTGCTGTTTGGATCCCACGTTTCCTGGCCCAGTCGCCCCCGGTCTCTGGCTCACTGGCCTCCCGGACCAACGCTGAACACTGGGTTCCATCAGTCTATTTCAGCTCAGTTCGGTCAGTCAGCTGATTTACTGAGTGCCTACAGACAAAAGCCCTCAGGGAGCTTACAGTTTGATTCTGTTCAGTGCCCCCTGCTGTGTGCATGGCCACCTCAGGCTGAGAAATGCTCGTCTTGTCCCAAGGAGTCCCAAGCACTTCGAAACCACTTCAGATGTAATTGGGAGATATTTAACAACAAGAAAGAAAACACATAGGTAGTATTACGGTTTAAAACAAAGTCAGCAGATGGCCCCCAGGAATCCTTTTGTGTGCCTTGGTCTGGTCCAGTCAATTAGTCAACATTTATTCATCGCCTCCTGTGTGTCAGGCCTCGTGCTAAGCGCCGGCCATGGAGGGGACGCTGACAGGGCCTCTCTGTTTTCAGCCAACGAGTTCTCGGTGGACGACCTGTGTGTGGTGAAGCTGCTCCAGGGCCTGTGTCTGAAGCACCTGGCCCAGGTCAGGGAGGCCGAGGAGAACTTCCGGTTTATCCAGGCCAGGTGAGGCCTCCGCCTCTGGCAGCTGCCGGGCCTTGTCGGGGCCCCTGCCCCTGCACCCTCCTCAAGAGGCCCCTGCAGGGGGGCCTCAGCTCGTCCACCTACTCCCTGGGGGGGTCAAGCCATGCAGCTACTCTATAAAATGGGGGGCTGGGCTGTAGGACTCGCCCAGGTCCCCTCCAGCCCTGAACCTAGGATCCTGAGAGCCCAGAGGCAAGAGGGAGCCCTGGGAGCCTCCGGAGATTCAGAAAAATCACGTGGCCACGTGTGGTGGATGGACGAGAAGGGAGAACTGAGGCAGGGAGACCCCAGGGGTGGGGGGTGATGAGGGCCTGAGCCTGGCCTGGCTGTGGGCGGGGCACATGTGCTTCTGTATGTGTGCGTGCGTGCATGTGTGTATGTATATGTGCGTACATGTATGTCTGTGTGCATGTATGCATGTCTGCCTGTGTGTGTGTGTGTGTGTGTGTGTGTGTGTGTGTGTGTAAGCGTCAATAAGGTTGTCAAGACAGACACGCCGAGGCCTGGCCACAGATCTGGGCTGTGGGGCCAGTGTGAGGGCTGCTGTTACTATGGCTCTGAGCTTATCCACCTCATCCCAACCGCACGGGGGGCATTAACCCATTTTACAGACCAGCCCTGGGAGTGGGGTGCAAGTCTGTCCTATACCGAGGCTCAATCTGCTTCTCTGAAACCATCATTCCTAGGGCCGCTAGGTGGCGCCAAAGTGCACAGAGCACCTGGCCTGGAGTCTGGAAGACTCATCTCCCTGAATTCAAATGTGGCCCCAGACACTTACTCGCTGTGTGACCCTGGGCAAGTCACTTAACCCCAGTTGCTTCAAAAAAAGGGGGGGGTCAGCAGAGAGATTGGGGCAGGAAAGGTAGGCGTGAGAATCCTCAGCATCGAGATGGTCATTAAATCCACTGGAGTCGATGGGATCACCAAGTGTCGTGCGGCATAGAGGGAGAAGGGTCGAGGACCCAGGAGAGAGCCCTGGGGACCCCTGTGGTCAGAGGGTGTGACTGGAGCAGGGTCCAGCAAAGGGGACCGAGAAGCAGAGGTCAGAGAGGGAGGAGGAGAACCAGGGGGTGACTCACAAACCCCGAGAGAACAGCCCAGAGGAGAGTGCCCAACAGTGTCGAGGCTGCCCAGAGATCAAGGAGAGTGAGGACGGGAAAAGGGCCGCTGGATCTGGCAGCTGGGACATGTTCGGTCACTTTGGAGAAAGGAGTTCTGGTGGTCAGAAGCTGGATTGTGAGGGGCTAAGGAGGGCGTGGGAGGGCCAAGGCATCCAAGGTGCAGCGAGGACCCCCGGGGCAGACCGGGCAGCCTCGGGCAGCGGCCTGGCATCCTGGATAGGATGGTGGACCTGCCACACAAGCAGATCTAGATTCGAATCCAGCCTGCCACTAGCCGTGTGACCAGTGAGCGGCTCCCTTAGCCTTCTGACCCTCAGGTGTGTCAGCTGGAAATAGGATTAAGGATGCCTGCTGTGGCTCCCGTGGGCTCAGGTGAGAGACTCGGTGAGGCCTCGGAATCGTGGCCAGGGGGATCACAGGTCACCAAATGTGCAGTGCCCAGCACACAGTGCTAGGAAGACACAAGCTTTGGTTTTGCTGCAGCCCTGCCCCCCAGGGCCCGGGGCCCACAGCCCACCGGGGAAGAAGGCTCGGACCCAGGGCCTCCTGAGAGGCTCGAGGGGAAGGTTCTTCCTTGGCCAGGATCAGGGCAGGCTTCCTGGAGGTGGCGGCAATGGCATTTGTACTGGGCATTAAAGGATGACTAGGAATTCAGTCGTAAAGAAGAGGGGATGGGGGGCAGCGCCCTGAGCACAGGGCCTGAGGTTGGAAAGCACTGGGAGCATGAGGACGGAGCTACCAGCTTGACTGGAGCATGGAGTGTGCAGAGCAGAGGACCAGGAGGGGACGGTCTGGGAAGCCAGGCCTGAGGCCCAGGGCCCGGGCTGTCCTTCTGACTGTCCCTGGGATGTGGGTGCCTCAGGCCAGCCACCCGCTGTGGGAGAAGGGAGGAGGGGACTTGGGCTGGCCCCTCACCCCACTCTTTCCTCCTCATCCTCTCTGCCCCACAGTGAGAAGAAGATTAAGTACGACCACTACCTGATCCCCAACGCGCTGCTGGAGATTTCCCTGCTCTGCCTGGAGCAGGGCAGGACGGAGGAAGCCCTCAAATGCTTGGAGATGGCCAAGTAAGGCACTTCCCCTCCCCGCCACCCCACCCCCACAGCAGGGCTGCTCAGCAGAGGGGAGGGGCAGGGGTCCAGGAAGCCCCCCACCGCAAGAGCCACCTCCTTGTTTTCATTCATAATGAGAGCTGGCCCTGATCAGGAAGCTGCCAGCCCTGGGTCCTGAGGCATCAGAACTCAGAGGGGCCTTAGAACAGGCAGTGTCAGAGCTGGGAGGGGCCTGAGAACAAAGGATGTCAGGGCTGGGGGGGCTTTAGAACAGGGGGTGGCAGGGCTGGGAGGGGCCTTAGAACAGGCAGTGTCAGAGCTGGGAGGGGCCTGAGAACAAGGGATGTCAGGGCTGGGAGGGGCCTGAGAACAAGGGATGTCAGAGCTGGGAGGGGCCTGAGAACAAGGGATGTCAAAGCTGGAAGGGGCCTGAGGACAGGGGATGTCAGGGCTGGGAGGGGCCTGAGACAGGGAATGTCAGAACTGGGAGGGGCTTTAGAATGGGATGGCAGGGCTGGGAGGGGCCTTAGAACAAGGGATGTCAGGGCTGGGAGGGGCCTGAGAACAGGGGATGTCAGGGCTGGGAGGGGCCTGAGAACAGGGGATGGCAGGGCTGGGAGGGGCCTGAGGACAGGGGATGTCAGAGCTGGGAGG